GTAAAAAAGTGAAAAACATGGAAGACATTCAACTGTACTGATGCCGAGAACGTCGGTGTTGGCTTTTATGCTGTTATCTCGAGATAATGAGTTAATTATTTAGTTATCTTGAGAAAACAAGCAATGTTATCCCGAGATAATCAACCCATTATGGGGAGAAAAGGTTGTTTCCTCTTATTACTTATAATGGTTATCAGAGATCAGGAGTAGCAGCATGCATATATTATATTATATGTGTATATACTAGTCTGTCAGTTTAACGCGTTAACGCAAACCCATTTTAACGGCGTAAATTTTTTTATCGCAAGATTAACGTTCTTTTGGCCTTGCACACTTTGTAGTTTTTTCACATGCTGTTGCAACAACTAGTAACGTTAGAAAAACTACAACACCACCCTGGATCTAGCTAGACCGGAAACAAAACAACAGGCACGCCGCACACACTTGTTTAAGAGTGGTAGACGTTACGTTTTGAGTGGATGGCGAGCGTGAGACGCCGAAATGGATGCCAATAATATTCTGAATGGAAATTTTACTTTTAAAAAGTTGTCAAATGGTTCCATTGACAAGACCAAAGTGATCTGTGTGTTTTGTCGTCATGAACTGAGCCATCATCGCAGCATGTCCAGTCTGAAATACCACTTGATGGCCAAGCACACAGCTGATGTGAATTCTCCACCCCCTCGTCAAAGCCAGGCGACAATGGATGATTTTTAAATAAAAACGACATTTGCACAAAGCAAGCCGATCCACTTTTCCATGTTGATAAGAGCATTAAAAAGAAAAAATAATGGGACAAAAATAAATCAAGGGACATTTAGAATAGATGTGTGACTGTGCGATTAATTGCGAGTTAATTATGACATTAATGCAATTAATCGCGATTAAGTATTTTAATCGTTTGACAGCACTAGTATATACTATATATTAGTATTATAGATATAGATATACATTGATTTAACATGTAGGAATGACATGCAATGTGCCAGTTATTATTATTTGAATACTGACCAAAATGAGCCAGCAGCCAGGAAAAGTGCATGAAAAGAATCTTTGTGCTCTTGAAATCTTATTCTGATATATAATGATATATTTTGTCAGTATTACATCACATTGCCAGGAAATGAATAGCTTAAATAAACTCTCAGATGTACATTCTGGTGACAAGACTTTTCACTTTAGTTATGAATCCTCCATTACAGTCATGACAGTGATCTTGAAGGCTGAAATCAGCTGTGATCAAATTAACTAGACACTGAATTATTTCATTAATTTGTGAAATCAACCTTTTTAAGTTAATTGAAAGCTTAGGTTAAGAAGGTTAGAAAAAACTTCAGCTCCCATGAAAACTCATCTAAAGTAGTCAGCTAAAATAAAATCCAATATTAAGACTAATGTAACACATTGGAAACAAGGTGGATGAGAGCAGACTTTGCAGGCTGGAAAACCCAAACAAGGAGCTAAAAAGCTCCACAGAGCTCAGTAGAACAGCAGAGTTGAATTTCACATTCAGTCGAAATGTGTTAAAACAGCACTAATAGACATATTATAATAGTTTGTAATTCAACAGTGTAATTATAGTTGGCTAAAGAACTGCGAGGAAGATCCTATTTGGTTCTATGGTTCTAAGTATGGCAGGTTTTGTAATGCCTTGAAGCTCTACACAGTTATGTAAAGGGTCTGTATATCTGTACTAGGAATAAACCCCAACACACACTCAGCAGGTCTCCTCTCTTCCTATTCATCCATGTTAGTGCAATGCAGGATCATGAGCTGGCTTTAGTTCGTGAATATAAAGGGATTTATTGCAAACTAGGGCAGAGGATGTGACTGTTGTGTTGTCAGCCAAAGGAAGGTCCCTTGGGTGCGTCAGCGCTGACAATGGGCCCAGCTCTTTCTCTGTAGCTCCACTCCTTATTTTAAAGGGGAGTGAGTAGCTGATCAGAGAGTGTGTGCTGTTTAGGTGATCATGCTGTGTGTTGAGTAATAAACCTGGTTGCTTTGTTTGAGTCTCCTGCTGTGACAGACTTCAAAGATCTGCACCTAATGAAGCAAAGGACTCTGTGGACTCCGGTCTCTCAGGGTGCACTTTACACACAACAAGCACAACAACCTGGGCTTTGTTGTAGCTCCTGCTTGTTTGGTACCGTGGGACTCTCTCCTAAGGGTTTCTGCTCTGGTTAATTTGGGACTTTTTAAAATGCATTTTGAAATTTAGGGTATTATTTAGTGCAAGCCACAGTGTCTTCTTACTGCCCAGCTGTCATAATCCATATGAGAGAAGACCTAAATTGATCATTTAGATTTCCCTCAATTACTATCACACACTTATAGAGCCTTTCCACCAAATTAGCTCCGGTTCTTGATCTGGTTCGGTTCAGGATTCTTGGAAACTTAGTGCTATCTAGCAAACCAGCATGTGTTTCCACCAGTTTTGAGCGTAACCATTGTAATCAAGGGTGCATCATCAACGTGATGTTGCACAATGTACAACACAAGTAAAAGTAGTAGCAAGATGGTGCATAACATTGATTACCTGCAAGCATTTGTTCTGTTATTATAGAGGCATGGACCAACCATTAATGATAAGGAGACTATGTGCAATAGTCTTTAACACAATAGTCTCCATTGTTGCCTTCTCTGTTCTCTCTTTCCAACCTGTACAGTATGACACACCCACTGATGGGTGGTTCGCACTTCAGATCAGGTCCCACCTGGGAACCAAATTTTTAAGTACTAAACCAATTTACTGTTGGTCAAAATGCTCATTATCAATATAAGGTGAACCGAAACAGAACCTGCTCCGTTGGTGGGGTTAGCACATGCTAACATAACAGGGGCCCACTCTGAATGTCGTTGATCATTTATTTTCTTTTTTATCTTCCTATGAATGATTTGGTAATTTTCTGCCAGAGTTTGAGCAATTTGGTTGTTTCACATGTGACATTTTGTATTTTGTTTTTGGCCTTGCTTTTCTCATTGGTTTGAAGGAGGCACAGGTGATTTTGATTGTTGCTGATTTAGTCATGATTATTTATTGTTATAAAGAAATACTAAAAGCTGCCACTGTACCTAAAAAGACTTTGTTTGTTAAAAAAAGTTATTTGTACACTGAAATTGTAAAATGGGAGAAAATGGATACCAACACCAGTAGACGCTCCTGGGAATTAGATTTCGGGACCACAATAAGCATAGATGATTGGGAAAAATCTTTATTAAATGCAAAAAATATATGTTGCTCAATTATGTCTCATGAAGTACAATTTAAGATCATCCATAAACTGCATGTTACCCAGGTTATTAGATCTAAGTACGATCCTGACTGCTCTATAATTTGTCTAAAATGTAATATTGGCAAAGCTACATATTTACATGTTTTCTGGGAATGCCCAAATATTGTGAAATTTTGGATTAATGTTAAAAAGAAAGTTAATGGTTTGCTTGGATGCAAGCCAACATTAAACCCAGGTATCTGTATTTTGGGATTGGATGATCCAGCAAAGCACACTGTTAAGTATAAATATCTACTGAGAATGTGTTGGTATGCTGCTAGGTTATGTATTCTTCAAAGGTGGATTGGTGATAAACCACCTGATGTCAGACTTTGGTTATTTATGTATATTTAAGATTTGTATGGTGGATTTGTGACTGCTTCTAGTAATGAGATATGTCTTATAGTGTTGCTTACCGTGAGTGAAAGAGCGAGTGAGAGTGTATGTTTATCTGATACTTATGTGAATATTACGAACATTTGATGTATATCCTATTTTCTTTGTTTTGTAGGTGTCACTTGTCTAACGTATTGTATGTTTTCCCACAGGTTAAGGATGGGGGGTGGGGTGTACATGATTATAATTGACATAGTGTACAAATGTGAATGTTGTGTTTACAATGTACAATTAAATATGGAGCATTGTTGCTGCTACTAATAATAAAACATATTAAGGAGAAATACTTAACATTGCTTTAAAAACCTTTCACCATGGCACTACTAGTGGTCAAAAAGTCTGCAGAGTACCTTTAAGCTTTGTAAATAATAGTAGCAAATGCATGGTTGGGCGGCTGTGGCTCAGAGGCAGAGCGGGTCGTTCCTTAATCGGAAGGTTGTGGGTTTGATCCCCGGCTCCTGGTGCCACATGACGAAGTATCCTTGAGCAAGATACTGAACCCCAAATTGCTCCCAATGCCATGCATCGGTGTATGAATGTTAGTTTCTGTTCGATGGACTTTGCCATCACTGAGTGAATGTGTGTGAAAGGGTGAATGTCTCACGTAGTGTAAAAGCGCTTTGAGTGGTCGGAAGACTAGAAAGGCGCTATACAAGTACAGGTCCATTTACCATTTGACTTTTTTGGCCCTGGGTTTCACCTCTCAGGCCACATAAAGGCTAACTGTAACTGGTGGGGCTTGTTTGGGACGCTCAGGTCTCAAAAAACTATTCACCCTCCCTTTGAATATTTAAAGTTAAAAATCTTTATATTTTGATTTACAGGTGTCAAAGTGTACCTCAGACAAGAATTGATTTTAGGTGAATAAAGCTATACTTCAGTTTTGCATCCTTTGTTTATTTCATTTTCTCTTTACTTGATTATGAATGTGAACACATTGTTATCTCAGTTTTCAGTTTCCTATCATTGAAACTAAATATATAATAACTGATCAGGGTTATTATTCCAGAACAGCCACACAAACCACACAATCCATTTGTGAAGCCCTTTTGTGTTTTCTCCCTTTCTGAGACTTTGCCAGTGGCACTAAGCTGACAAAGAGTGGTTGAGCTGACAGAGCAGGCTGCAGCTGGAAACTTTCTGTCCTTATGCAAGGTCTCAGTTTATAACTTGCTGCATCTCTTAAAAGTAACCAGAAAAAATGCTTAGTAGCAGTAAAGTTCTGTTGTTCCCCAAGTTGTCTTTTATTTCAATCCACATTTGCTTCAATGATCTAGTCGCCCATTTGCAAGTCATTGTTGACGCTAATCCTAATCCTTTGTTCTCCTTCAGCTGTTCGAAATGACCGGAATAAGAAGAAGAAGGAGAGCCCAAAGCCTGAGCTGGCAGAGAGCTACGAGCTGACAGCCGAGCTGGAGACCATCATTGAAAAGATTCGTAAGGCCCATCAAGAAACCTTCCCCTCCCTCTGCCAGCTTGGCAAATACACCACGGTGAGTTCACTATCCTGTGGTGCCTGAAAGAAAGCAAGTTCTATACTATAGTACTATACAGTAGATCAATAAACCTGTCCAACTTTGGCTGCACTTATTTCTGAATCATAAACATAACAGGGTTTCTTTGACTCCATGACCCTGTTTTGCCGATGGCGCCGGTTGCCCCTTTGATCCGATCTTGCAAACTAGCCGTGAGTGCAAGGCTCATAATGATAATCAATCTCTCGTACTGTACTCTAAATCCCCCTCTAATGCAGCTCCAGAGTTCAGATGTACACTACTGACTGCCTAGGCAAATCCTCACAAACACTACTTCTTCCTCTCTCAATAGCTATTGATTGGACATTGAGTGTGATGGAAAGACAATAAAAAGCATGCATCATAATAGCACAGAACAGCTAACACCTCATGAATTCCAGCTGCCTCTGGTGAGATGGATACGAGTTGGTAGCAGGGTTTGTTTACCCAAGTTTTTATATGTTGCAGCAGTGAGAGGAGAAATTAAAAGAGCGATGTCAGGACTGGAAGACGTTGCAGCTGCCAACATCAGACACTCATCTGGGAGTGAAGAAGTTGCAGCTGCCCATCAGTCTGGTTGAGGCAGACACCAACTCAAGGCTCCAGTTTTTGACATGTCTGAAAAGCGTAATAAATGCAGCTAATCCAACTAATCCAAGCATCATTATCTGCTTCCATAAATCAGAATACGTGCGGAAGCAACGGATTCGTGCGCTGATGTGCGACAGCGCTAATCTGGATCTGAAGAATGAATGCTTGTCAGGGTTTTTGTGAGGGCTTTATTCCTCCCCTTATCCCCCAGCAGACATCAAGGTTGAGAGTTCTGTGCAGTCCCTGAACCTCCTACAAACCATCTACACTCTAAACTAACAACCCATGAAAGGCCAGATAGCGAGGGGATGCTAATCCACACTGGAAGATTGAAGCCGAATCTCATCAGTCGGACACATCAGGCCCTTGCTTGTCCAGTCTCAAAGTGGCCGACCCTGTAAAGGACAGTATATTCCCCTCATCTGAGTGACAGCAGGCCTCTCTCCCCCCTGAGTGACGGTTCTGCACTTGTCATGACTCGGTGCAAAAGTTGGAGGTCATACAAATGTCGAGGAAACCTCTAGCGAGTACGTGAAGCTACAAACCCTTGTTCGGCTGAGTTTTATGATGCTTTGACAGGCAAGCGGTTGGAGCTGCAGGACGGCTGATAGTTTGATAGCAAGCAGAGATAGCAGCGCTTTGATTGACACATAGGCATGGCAGCATTGTGCAGGGAGCTGACAGCGTCTAATGTGTTTGTTTTTAAGATGACTTACATATAGATTACAGACACCGGGAGTGAGCTGTGATTGACATTGGTGCTCCACAAACAGTCTTCTATGGGGAGTGTTTGAGAGCAGGAAGGGGGAGGTGTCTGTTTAATGATTTGCTGGTGCTAGTTTTGGAAATCTCATGACACTTGTCAATCATGTAAAATACTGTTTATAGTAAGATAAACAAATGCGCTGAGGAGCCATAATGTGCAATAATGTCTCTCTTGTTGCGGTGATGAAAATCTTCCAGTCACTGACAATAAACCTTGGAGCGGAGATGGGTGAGAGATGCTAAAATGGGGCAAATTGGCATACAGTGCAGCTATTAGCTTTCCACTGTGTGCAGCTGCTGCTGTCGTTTCAATGTACAGTAAGCCTCCATCTCCATAACTCTTTATTTTTCCCCTTTCAATCCAAACACAAAGCTCCTAATCGCTGTAACCCCTCTGTACTCCACCCTCATCCCATTCCCTCTCCCGCGAGACACTTCCTGATTTTACAAAATAAACAGTCTGCATTGAGGCAAAATCCACAGCTGGAAATAGTAGGACATAATAGCAAAAATCTTGCTCCCTGGTTATGATATAAGCCAGTGTTTGTGTTTGTTGGAGTGGCAGTCGGGCCTCAGATAAAGCCTTAATCTGGATCAGTGGTAATTATGCTTGCTCACAGACTGTGAGAAGTTCCTCATTATTACAAGCGATTGGATCCTGATGCGCCTTTTGAGTCCTCCTCGTCGGAAACAGAAGAGGAGCTCCCGCGCCCTAGATTAGGTTAAAGCTCCAATTATGTGGTGAAATATTCAAATCCTAGTCTGCAGTGATTTAGGAGTTCATTGCTGGGTTAGCGGAGATAGCTGTGCGAGTGAGAGGGCTTAGCTCGACAATGAATAACGCTTCATTGACAGTGATGGTGATGAAAAACGAGCCTGGCAGTTCCAAAGACAAAATAAAACATTAGCAATTGGCGGGGCCCGGCGGCTGCAGGCGGGCAGCGGCAGGCGGCTGCTGTACAGTACGCGGCCCCAGCCTGGAGATATTAGCCACATTACAGTTTGTCCGCTGTCGCTATTCGTCACAGGTACTGGCTGCTTTTACTGCCTTTTCCCTTTCTGCATCTGTACACACGAGCCCGCTGATGTACTGCGGAGCGCTCGTTTCTACACTGCCAGCTTCTTTTCTAATGTCGCAACTTGTCTAATTTGTTTAGATAAATGTTCTTAAATGAAATTAGAATTCCCCGGCAACTTCCTTGTTTTGCTCTATTGAATTATGGGACTTGTGTAATTGACTGAGATTGCACGGGGAGGGGGGGGTAAAAAAAAGAAATCCAACTGCGAATTATCTCCCCCTCCTTCCTCCTCAGCTCCCCCTTTTTCTTCCCTCTCCACCCAGAGGGAAGAGCAAGACAAGTTGCTTTAATATCAGCCACCTCCACCCCCACTCAACCTCCAACATATGTGCATTGTGCAAACACACACTCTTTCTCTGTGTGTGTGTAGACACAATCTCGTGTCTCTGCACCTCCTCCTTCCCCATCAAATCGGACGTCAATCAGTGGAATGTGCGTCCATAGTGCTGTTGTGTCGACTGCAGCTCGTTGTCTGTGATTTAAGCACGGCCCTAATGTGCTTCTCACTTAACCCCAGATCATATTTAATGATCTCTCTCTCTCTCTCTCTCTCTCTCTCTCTCTCTCTCTCTGCTGTTCCCTGTCTCCTTTTATCTCCCTCTCTCTCCCTCTCGGGTGGCCACACAATAGATTGTTTGCTCGTGACAGTGTCCAGCAGCGGCGGCGCTAACTGCCTCACAGTAACAACCTCAGGGGGATTGATGTGGTGTGGAGCAGAGGGCCGCCTCTCCACAGTCACTTCAGTGGGCTGGTTGGGGCTGCAGAGCACTGCTGTGTTCAAGCCCTCTCACACTGAAGAAGCTTCAGGGGCTGGGCTTCGACTGATGTTGAAGTTTTCCAACATATTGAGCACATATTGGATTTTCAGTAAAGGATGTCATATTAGTTGGTTGTTTTTTCCCACCTGCTTTTCTGTCTTCAACAGCTTCAGGGCTGTAAAACCTGTTTCACTTCCTGCACATGATCAGTAGTCTGAGTTTTGCACTCCAGTGATCATGTCCTTTGTAATTTTATGGGAATTTCTCACAAAAAACATGAAGGGCCCTATCTAGAGCCAGTGTTTGGTTAGTCGATTCCGGGCTCCTGTGGAATCCTGTAGATTACTGCAGGAAGTTTTTGTAAAATAAGCGATACTGATACATTTTGAGCAGATTATTTCCTGTGAATATTGATCAGAGATGGGGTTTTCCTGATATTTTTAGGAACATTTTTTACAATCCAACAATGAATTTGCTTATTCTGGGTTCCAGTGTAGAGTTGTTGCAAACAACAGTGGTCCAAGCAGATTACGAACATTTGGATTTTTTTTTTTTTTTGAATATTATTTGAATCCGTATAGCCAATCACAACATATGTACTTTTCGCATTTGGGGCGCCCTCTAGTGGCAGAATATTCCAGGACTCCTCAGCATAGTTCCGACCTAGTGTCCTGGTTACAATAGTTCAAGGACATTTTTATTAATTAGCATTTATGGAAAATTAAACTTACAGACACAGGTTTAAAAATCTATCAAAACCATATGGAATATCAAAAATCCGAAAAACTAATTTTCTCCAGATTGGCCCAGATATGCTGTGTGACCAATCTGATGCCAATTCTTCAAAATCTACTCAATGAGTGGAAAACAAATGGATTTGACAAAATTCAAAATGTTGGAAAATGCGTCCAGGTAAAAAAAGGGATTGCTTGAATGGATAGATTTTGTTTGGACACAAAGAATCCAGAAAAAAAGAGAATGCGGTTTCTGAGACTTACAGTTCAAAAGTTATTGGCCAAAATGTAAATTTTGTTGTCATAGCGTCCCAATCTGGCCAATCGGTACAATTGTTTTTGTCTGAGTAGCAGGTGAGATTTCAAACCTATGTTCTGAGTTTGTTACGCTTTCTGAGACCCAGATAGATTTATGGCAGAAGAAGTATAATAAAAATGAAAGAATAGATTACATAACACCCTTGTGACCAGATTTAACAGACATATTATAGTCCGTCTTTTTCTTTTTCTATATTCTTCTGACAGCTGCAGGGTAGACATGTGTACACTGCCTTGGTTTAACTGTTAAAGTCAAAAACTAGAATTGATTGCATACTGGTTTTCTTATTTCTGTCCAGCTTCAATATTCCCTTTGTCTGAGTTTTGCTACACTTAAGTTATGTAATGCTGTTTTTTCCGAGAGTATTGCTTTTTCAATTTCTTTTATTATTTATCTCTTTATACAATACTTACTTTAAAATTGGAAAGACTGAAAGCAGGGTTTATTGTCATTTTCCAAAAGAAGTCAAGAAGTCAGATACAACCAAATTAGGAAAACATTTTCTCTGTTTGTCAGTTTGAATGAGGATGCTTTGCTTTATGCTACTGACTTAATTACAGTTGTTTATGCTGAATAAAGAGCCTAATAATAATAATAATCATAATACATTTTATTTGTAAAGCATTTTTCATAAAAGAATCTCAAAGTGCTACAGAAACCAAGAAAAAAACAAAATAACAAAAAACAATAATATCACAATAATACAAGTGATAAAATACATTAAGAAAAACAG